ATACAAACAGGAGTACAATGTCGGCAGGTCGTGGCCGATTGTTCGAGAACGTTGCGTTCCGCTTCTGCCAATCTCCGTGGCAGGACGCAAGCAAGGTCAGCGCGTCGGTCTCGGGCTTGCAGGACGGCGAGGCGGTTCAACCGACGGGACTCGAGCTCAACTCCTCAACGCACGGTTGGCGCCGTCTCGTCTCTGGCACACCCGAAAGCGATAGCAACGGGTCAACGTGCCTAGTTTGGGGCTCGCCGACCGGCACAAAGCGGCCCCGACTCATCCACACGTGTATGTGTGTGTTTGCGTGTGTGTGTGTGCTTGTGTGTGTATCCGCTGTCCAGGACAGCCATTGGCTGGTGAAAAAAGCGCCCGAGTTGCTGGCTTCCGCCGGACTCGGACAAATGTCGGCTCGACTCACCCTTCGGCTGTTGACTCGCCTCGGCCGGTGACCCTGTCTGTGTGCCTGTGCCTGTGCCTGTGCGTGTGCGCGTGGCTGCTCAGCGCGTGCGGATTGGCCACGAGCGAGGCGGCGAAGAGGTGCCGGGCCTCGAGCCAGGCGTTCAAGCCCCGCTGGGCCTGCTCGGAGGTCTGGGGCTGCCGCTGTGATTGGCCCAATCGAGTCTGGTCGTTGGGTCGTCGCGTCGCGTAGCGACGGTTGGGCAATCTGGACGGCGCGCCGCTTGAAGGCCGGCTGGTCCGAGTCCCGCCCCGTGTCCGAGGCTGTCGGTCGGCGAGGCCTGCGGGCGGCGGAGATCACCGTCTGCCAGGCAACCGAGACACTTGGCGTCACTGATTCTCTGACTCACTCAATCAGTCAATCAGTCAATCAGTCAATCAGTCAATCGGTTAATCACAAACTCAGTCATTCAGTCATTCAGTCACTCAGTCGCTCACTGTCTTTCAGACTGTCGTCTTGATGAGACGCCGATCGGCTGGCTGGCTGTCCGTCTTTCTACGGGCCTCTGCATTATGACACACACCAACACACAACACACACACATACACACACACACGCACCAACCAGTCAACCTCTCGCCGACATGTTCGCCCCTTCATGTAGGTAGGCACAGACATGTTGGCATGCCCGGCCGGCCAGGTGCACCAGACTCTCGGTCTGTCTGGCCGGACTGAGAAGCGCCAAGAAGAGACAGCAACACCAGTTGGTTGTAGGCAAGCGAGAGAGAGAGATAGATAGAGATATAGATAAATAGAGAGAGAGAGAGCTAGAGAAACAAAAAGCCCTCTTGGGACCAATCAGAAGGGCCACTTTTCTACAGAACTGGTGCCGGGTCTCGTGTTTGGGGAGACGACGCAACTCTTCTCAAACTGATTGTTCCACATTCTTCTTGTGTGTGTGTGTGTGTGTTGGTGCTTGTGTACATGCTCGACATACTTTTTTTCATGACACTCTATGACACTGACACATTTTGGCCTCGGTTTACTAACCTCGTCGGTTGGGGCTGGCCTACTCTGTCAAATGCCAGTAGTATATGAGTAGTACATTTAAAAAAGGAAGAATAACCGGCTCTATCTACAGCCTCGATTTAGAGACGAGGAGGTGAAGAGCCCATTCCGACTTTTGACATTAATTCCCGTTTCGAAGCGAAAGTTGTCTGCCTCACCTGAAACCGAAGGAGGCTTGCTGCAGAGTGGAGTAGCGCAGGAAATGTACCAATCAAAGCGAGCCATTTTAATATACCTTTTGCGCTTTTCCCTAAAGTGTGCCAACTTGCTCAAAAGTTGCCCGTCGCGACGGCAAAGGCGAAAGGTGAGAACAAGTTTTATTTTGGTCGCAGGACGATGGACCAAGCACTTGTCGACATAATCCACCAGCCTCCACTTCACTCACTTTCGCCTCCGATGAGGCCATTTCACGAATTGCTGCCAACCGAATTTCCTTTCCAAATGTAAAGCCACTAAAGACCACCTTCAATCCCAGCTTTTATTCATGCCTGCTTCGAAAGTTTCTCTTTTGCAACCCTCGACGGTGAGAATGGGTGTGCAGGCGAATCGCACGTCCAACGACTACTCACATACTACTCACTACTCCGTCATCAGGTTTCAAGCATAACTTGCTTCATTTGTATTGTTAAGGGGACCTTCATTTCGAATGAAAGTACATGATGAAGAGATTCGTTTGTCGTTATCACCAGATGAGGACGG